TGTTATTTGTAACACGTCCATCAACGAAAACCATTGCATATGTATTATTTTATTAGTAAATAAATAATACATTTACTGTATGTTGTAACCTACTATCTGTTATACACTTTCGTTTTTATTCTTATATGTTGTAATTATATACTCATATTATACGTCAAAAAACATAGGACAATTTATTACAAATTTACCCATCGTGCAATGCATGGGTAAAACACTAGTAATATGTAACCCAATTCTGAATTTTACAACAAATAAAACAAATAAAAAAAAATAAAAAGAATCCAACCAACAGCAAAGCATTTAGTTTCTCCCAACTAAAGATATAATTCTTTGATCTTAAACCAATTAAACTGTTTATATAAAATTATCACTCCTAACTAAAAAACCAAAAAAAAAAAAAAAAAAAATCTAACCAACAGCAAAGCATTTAGTTTCTCCTAACTAAAGATATAATTTTTTATCTTAAATCAATCAAATTGTCAATATAAATTTATCACATCAACAAAAAGATAATACATGTCCAAACACCTAAAACAAATAATCGGTAAAGGTAAAAGACTTTTTAAACTCAAGAAGAGGGGCATCACACAATTGCGTTGGCAGCAAGAGATCAATACACTCCTTTCCAATAGGACCAGTTGATTGCAAAATCTTTGATGTTCTTCCTTTGGGGTGAAAAATCACTCCAGCATTTTCTTCAATAATATGTATATACCATCCTTTTGGTGCCATGACTTGCGTTGGCGAACGGTGTCATCAGTGCAAGTTGCAGCCACCGAAAACCAAGCGACATCCTGATCTTGTTACCCACCGATCTTCCGGGTCCTCACTTTGACATTTTGACTGTCTCTTTGTGAGGTTTCGAAGAAGGGAAAAATTAATTAAACAAATTACTCCTTCTGTCCCATAATTATTATCAAGTTTGGATTTTTATTTTTAGTTCAAAACTAAAAATAAAAACCCAAACTTGACAATAATTATGTTACAGAAGGAATACTTATTGTGGATCTTACAACAAAAAAGTGCAAATACTTTTCTTTAACTTCTGACCTCTGGGGATATTTCCTGACAACAATCTTATTTTCCATTAAAACAAAAGCATGAAATGCACATGAGCAAAAGGCGAAAATCAGTTGCACTAATTTGGCAATGATGAACGATCACAAGATATATATTCCAACCGCTTCATGTTGAACCGTTGACTTGATTGCTTATGTGTGAACTATCGGAGGAAGATGGATTTGGCGTATGATGATGATCGGAGGTCGATGAGAGAGAAGGTTCCAAACGCGACGCTTTGGGAGGCTGACAATTACGATTTTCAATCAAGGGGTACTTAATTGATTAGATGAAATCAGATCATATAATTTCAGTAACTTTCCATGTCAGAGTCTATGATTTACTCGTGAGAGGATCATTCGTTCAAGGATAACTACTACTTATTCAATTACTCCATGTATTTGGTCGCATATGTATTTGTATTACATTCCAAAGTGATAATTCTCGGTAATATATTTTCCTTTCACAAATCACAGAAGCGTAATCCCTCGTCCAATTTACGGAAGCTACAAACGGAAGTAATCAATTAATCAATTAATAATTTTGAGAAATGGAAAATGTGAAATGAGTGAAATCAATGGATTGGTGAATAAGTCAAAGTAACCATTTTACCTAAAAATTTTAACAGTTTAATAAAATATAACCTCTTTTGTCGACATGTATCAATAGATAAATGTGAGTTTGACACGTGGCGGAGAAGTCCCTAGACTATTCCATTGCGTGACACATGTCGATTAAAAACTCTCTAATTATATATACTAGTGTTTACTCCGCACGTTGTGCTGGTTGTTCATGATATATATATATATATATATATATATATATATATATAAGTTTAATGATTGAAGGATTATATGAAAATTTTGACGGAGTGATATTAATGTTACTGACATAAATTGCAATTGTGTAACTTAGTGTACATTTGGAATAATTCTCAATATTCACAAAACATCCATATAACTTAGTGTCCATCTTTTTCGTTTTATTGATTTATGATTTTATATTTTTGCTTAAAATTATTCTCTTAATTTTTCAAATGATCTTTCGAAATATTTCTATCCATGTCATATCTTTTAAATTCTTCCTTTAACAAAAAAATTTTCTACCCGTGTCAATGTAACTTGAATGAAGTTACAACCCAACGTACATCTTCTACTTCAGGCTTTGAAGTTTCCTTCCCAGCATTCAACTTAACTGTTGGATAAATTTTCAGCCACTCATATTTTTCTCTCTATTAATTTAGACTTATAATCGATAGTTACAAGTTCTTTTATTAGTTTTAGTATTGTATAGATTTTGAGGTGCATTTCTTCTCTTCATATAATCTGTTGTTCTTTTTCATCTCGCAATTGTTAATTGATCTAAGTAAATTCTGTGACTATTTAGGACCCAATTGGTATGCTTTATTTCTTTAGTGCCGGACTTTTTTTGGATTTAAAATTAAATTTTTAGATTAATATGTAGTTATGTAATGTCAGTTATTAGTGTTATTTAAGTAGTTGAAAGTTTTCCCTTTCATCGGCAACAATAGAAATTTTAAATGTTATGCATACAGTTTCATCAAATAATACGAAGGACATGTTTGAGTCATTTCTTCGATATTATACCTGTTTAATGTTTTGGGGTAAAATAAATTCATTTGTTGTAAATTGTTTAGATTATTTAAAACGAATATTTGGTGGTGGAATTCCCTCCGAGTGCAAAATCGTGACTTGTTTTATTGAGATTGTTTATCCTCTACTATAGTGTAAATTCAAATATTATGCCTTGTAATTTGATATTTTATTAATGAATTATATAAATTAATTGCAATTGCATAAACTGTTTTAAATTATTTTTAAATCTTGTGGTTTGTATTTTTCCAAAAAAAAAAATGTTTTGCGAATCGATTAGTAAAATTAAAATAAAATTTAAATACTGACTTATCTTTTGCAATTTATGGGTAGATAATAAAAAAGGCAATCATGTATTTTCACAAAACGATTCCTACTCAACAAATCCTTACTATATATATATATATATATATATATATACTCTTCGTAGCAGAATTATTTTGACAAACAGTAATTGCATGAAAGTACAAAAGAAGGTTATTAGTAAAAGTGATATACAAAACTCATATTTGATACAGAAATAGTTCAAGCAGTAACTCATACTGTAAAAATTCATTATAGAATTGGCCAAACTCCATCGGCAATGTTGCGTGTGTCTTTCCTGGCTAAAAGTATTCGCCATCCCAACATTATGCGTCTTAAACTCATACCTTAATCAAAAATTGAATTGTATCTTCAACGATTTTCTTTTGTTTAAAGTGGTAAAAAACTAACACTACCGATAAGAAACTCGTAAAGTTAATTAAGACAAAAAATAATTTTAAAAATGTGACTGCAAGAAAAATAAAAGTTAATTAAGCAGAATTAACTCTACGGATCAGCGCTTGTTTTCATAAAGAAATTGATCCCAAGAATCTGAAAAATTAAATTCCTAACCATAGTGCAAAAGAAAAAAAAAAATACTTCCAGTACGTGGTTTACAACAAAAATAATCACATATAGAACGAACAACAGTTTTGACAATATATGAATGGGGCTATATATTTGAAAATAATTCACGCATATTATACTATCTTTATTTTTGTTATAACACTAAAATATGAAAGGGAAAAGGAATACTAATTACTTTTAAGAACTAAAATTGAAATTTTGAATAAAACCTTTCAGGAATCATTTTTCTTTTCCCCTTTAATAGAACTTTGAATAAAGTATAAAAATTAAATTAATAAATTCCATCCTTTCATAATACAAACATATTGTAACGTACATGCAGGATGCAAAGAAAATTATACAAAAATTCTGAAATGAAAAACGTTTGAGTGAAAAAAAAATAACATACTCCAAGGCAGTGACTTATGTGCTTATTAGTATAAATTATTTTCGCTAAAAGAACAAAAGGATAGAATTATGAACAGTCAAAAAAATTGAAGTCAATGGAACGAATTAATTAGGTGAGGATTCTGATTTTAATTTATATTAGAAAAAAATATCTTTTTATTTCCTTTTATGACAAAAAAAGAAATTAAACCAGATAAAATTAGTTATTTATACATTTTACTGATTTATAAATAAAAAGTTACCATTAAATGATGGAGTGATAAGATTGCGACATGTGAACTTGAGGATCTAATTTTGCGCCATGTAGATTAGTCTATCTAATATCGCGCCAAGTGTTCGATTGAAAACTTTACTTTAATATATTAAGATATAGATATAGATTTGATTGAAGGGAAATCAATAAATTTATTCGAGTAAAAAGAATGTGCAAGCTTTCCAAAGAAAAATGTTTATGAACTAGTCAAAGAAATTGTTCAAAGTAAACACTATATATTTTTGCCTTAGAAAATTGTATTCCAACGCCGTTAATTACCGGAGATTGGGGAAGACATTTTTTACTAGTTAAAAAGAATATATAGTAATAATCTTTATAAAATAATTAGGTGTTTGTGTGATCGGTGCATAACTTGTATTAACATATTTCGTGCATCTTTATTTATCAAATTTTAGAAAAATATTATCATGATCATAACCGTCAATTGAATTTTATCATAATAATATTGACGTCGAATAAATTTTATGAAAATCAAACTGAATCTTATCATAATAATATTGACCGTCGAATAGATTTCATAAAACCATTGGTAATATTCTCTCTCCACAATAACTATTTATTTTAATTACTCCAAATGTTCTATATTTAATTATTTACAATTTCATTTGTTTCACACAAATCTAAAACTTGGCAAATTAATGCAATGGCTTATTCCTTCAGATTGTTTTTTTTTTTTTTTCCCTGAAAAGAGAATTTTATATCCTCTTCAGATTAATGCAATGCAAATGCGGTCATGATTGTTACTTATCTGCAAAGCTCTATGAATAAGCAGAAGCCACTGGACTTGATCCGAAGCAACACATAATTTTTTGAACTTTTACATTGTCTATGTATACAAGCACCAAATAAGTGAACACAAAAAAGAACACACACAAAAAATACATTAATTTCCTACATTCATGCCTCATTATTCCCAGTTCCCATTCCCAACCATCCCATCAAAGAGACTCTCACCCAGATCCTATCCTTTCTAACCAATCTACACTCTTCCTTGGTCTCTCAAGCTGTACATCGACGCTCATCCGAGACTTGTCATGATACTCCGAGGGATGACATTTATCGTGATACTCCACGCTCCTCCGTGATCTCTCCATGTGTTCAAAGGGTATTCTCAACTTCGCCAACTTGTCATCATTTGTGTACTTGCTTTCAAAGAAATGTAATTTTTCCGGCTTGTCTACACTTCGTCTGGGTTTCTCCCTTCGATGATCCACGCTTCTCCTTGGAGCCCCGAGAAAATTGCTCTTCCTCGAGTGCTCAGGCTTGTCTATACTTCTTTTTATATTCCTTGTGGAAGGTTTTTCAACATAAGTTACAAACTTCTTTAGATGCCTGATATATTCCGGATATAGTTCCAGGTTACAGTGACTTCCTCCTTTTAGCCATAGTGGCTCATACTTTTGCTGGCAAAGTTCCCAGAGCTGTTTTCCATGAGAGCAGTCTACAACTTCATCAGCAGTGCCCTGCAAACGGCGAGTCAAAGGAAATACAGTACAAGTCAGCGAGACTATACGCAGAAAACTTGGATCAGATTAACTGAATGCACCACTGCATGAAACTAGCTACATATATTCCACAAATAAACTTAAATCATTCTTTTATAGTAGTCATTTCCCCAAAGATTCGGAGTGTCACAAAGTCAAAGGACAGTATAGAAGGATGCATATCCCACATTACACCAAGCACTTCTGATTACAAAATTTATAAAAACAAAGATTATGTTGAAAATTCAAGAATGTTAAAACTATGTACAAGAAGCTCTAAAGTCATCTGAAAAAGAGGCCTGGACCACAAACTGAAGTCCTACTCCTTGATTTTTTCTCATCAGCAGCTTATCATTTTATCCATTGTTTCATGGATAAACCGTAAATGGAGTTTAAGCTGGTGGACATCAAATTGTAGAAAGCTGATGCACCAACCAATTCCATCTTTTGAATTATTGATGAGGACACAAGTTAAATGCAAAAAGTAGATTTCTTCCATTAGTAATGTTCATTATATCAGTTTCAATCCGTTTGTCGACATATCTCCATCCCCCCATCTTTATTTCACATTTCAAAAAGCAGTTATCTACCCAATGCAGTTTCACATGACATTCTGTTATTATCTGATGACAATCACCTTCATAAAGATATAAATTTAAAATGCCAAATGGCTGAAACATTAATGATATTGTAGTCCCACATGAAAATGAATGGTCATAAAGATAGAACAATCTTGAGGATGATGAAAACAATTTACTGGAAGTAGACATCTCAAGCAAAACACCTTGTCAACTGAAAATGAAAATTAACAGGAATGTATACTTACATGAATGACCAGAACAGGACATTTCACCAATGGGATTTTGTCAATATTCTGCAAGGAACCAACAAAGCATATTTTAGGTAGAGAGAAAAAGAAATACCTTTTTGGTTAAGAAACACATGTACTGATAAAACAGCAGCTTCAAGGAATTTTACGTGTATCAGAGCTAAAAATACTTCATGTAAGATCTCAATAAGATTTAGACACAGCATATCAGAGTTGTTACCTTGTATATATCAAACCAGTACGTACGTTTCACCGGGTACATAACTCTCAAGCCGGACAAGATAGGGCTATGAAGAACAACAGCCCTAAGTTGTAGTAAACGTGCAGCAAGATCCGACGTAGGACCGCTTCCAACAGATTGGCCGTAAAGGATAATGTCTTCCTGTTTAGCACCATAGCTCTCTTCAAGACACTTATAAGCAGCCTCTATATCTGCATATGTATTGTGTTCACTTGGCTGCAAAAGTAACACACTTGAACTTCAGTGCATGCTGCCAGTCATTTGATCGCTTAGACAAAAGAGTGTCAAATAATTCCATGTAAACAGTTTAGCTTCAGGTTACCTTTCCAGTTGACTGCCCATAGCCAGAGTAATCGTACCTGCATAAGTTTAACATGTTATTCAGATCAATGAAAAGATATATATAAGTTATTCCCCAAATATTAAATACATACTAGGAGAATATGAATGATCAGTTCAGTGACACTTGATTATTAAAGAACAAGGAAATCCAAGAATATCCTCGTTTTTCTAATACAACCTAGGTTCCTTAAGCCATCAAGCAAAAGTCTTTTTCATTACATCAATCATATTATTTAAAGGGAAGGTTACTCACGTATCTATACAACAAGTGGGTTTAAGTGTAAATAGAATTTCGGTTTATCATTAGTAAATTTATCAAACTACATGCCAAATTATTAGCAACAGTGAACACTATAGAAATTAGATTCTTCTGCAGCAACAAAGAAGATTGTATCATATGAAAAACTTCTGAATCTTCGCATCACCTATAGATCAAATTCCAGATTCAGTTATTGTTTAATAACGTCAAGGAGCATAAAACAGAAAACTTCTTCTTATTCTGCTATCTTGTTCATACATTTGTGAAAATTACCCAAATGTTTCAGGAATTTATTAAGGCTAACAAACCAAGATGAAGCTGAGCAGCATATAAAGCTCAACCTTACTAAGCGTAGAGACCACAAATGTCAGTATCACATTTTTCTATCCAACAAGGAATGATCTTTACATACGTCCAATATTGAATTCAAATTAAAACAATATATGAACGTAATTTGAAACAAATTGAATATTTTTCTGCCCCACAGCCACAGAGAAAAAAATGGGAAATTAAAATCGTTTACATTTTAAGGACAAATTTCCACAACTCCACATCATTCCAAACACCCGAAAAATTTGTCGAACAAAGAAAATAATTTCTCTTTCCCCCCTGAAAAGAATACTACTTCCACAACCCAAAAATAAAATTAAAAAAGAAAAATCCAGAACCTCGAATTTCAGATATAATCAGGGAAATGAAATTCAACATTTGAGTGTCAAAGTGTGTGGGTGAAAAAGTATAGGCATACCCCATAAGATTGACTCTGAGATGAATGCTAAGCTCAACGAAAAGCTCATACATCTGCCCAATATCAGCTGCATTTCCATGAGAATAAAGCAGGGTAGTTGAAGCCATTGGATACCTCACATAAATTGCCACAATTTCATTCCCTCGTCTTGTGGGCAGCTTCAAAATATCAACATTTTCTCTATGCGGAAAAGGGTCCATGAGCAACAGCCCAGTTTCTTCATCCTTGATTATCTTATACGTTGGTGGGCTCGGTGGGAAAAATGCTAACTTTGCCGCCATTGATGATGTCACCCCTCCCATCTCCTCCGCCTTTTCCCCTAAAGCTTTTCAAATCTCCAATTTTACTCTGAATTACTAAAACCCTCTTTCCAATTAATCTTCTGATGAAGCAGAAAGCTGTGAAGATGGTAAAGGGATTAGTGAATTTGGAGAGAGATAAGAAGAAGAGAAGAGAAAAAGGGAAGAAAAAGCTTTGAATTTGATGATTTTGGTTAACTTTGGTTACAGTGTTTTCATAAGGAGAAGATGGGTTTTTGAGTATGACATGTGCAAGTTAATAATGTCAGGCTTGCAATTGGACAAGTATAAAAAATAAAAAAAAAAATAATTTTGTACACCAAAATCCTTTTTTTTTTCTTTTTCCAGCTGGTAATTTTTCTCACCAAAAGAAAAAAAAAAAGGAAAATTATAAATCGGCACTTGTGGTTAATTTTTGTAGCTTTTTAGTGTATTCGTATTTCCGAAGGGTTGTTATTTTCATACTCCCTTCAAGCAATTGTTTATTTATTATTGTTATTCCTGAATAATTAGTGATATTTTATTGGTGTCAAGTGTCGTTATTTTCAGTCAAATAAATTAGATAAAGTAAAATATTTCTTGTTTATCTTTTATTAATTAGCACCCACCAAATAAAATGCACATAAGTTTAATACAAAGGTCAAATTCTCGACGTGTTTTACGCCCAAATATAGGGAAATTTATTGAGTATATCAACTTTATATGGACTTTCCTTAGACAAATTTTGGTGATTAGAATTTGAATTTTGACTTCGTTTGAAAATTTTATCCTACAAAATCATACTCTAACGACCATAATACAGTATTTGGAATTGTACATTGTATTTTCCAAAAAGAGAATTGTATATTGTCCACTGACAGAATTTTTTTAATAAACATTTACGCACCATATTTTTATTACCTTTTAAAAATAAATAATGATTTAAAAGAATTTTAAGGATACCAATCACTGGATTATACGTACTGTATTAGATAAGTCATTTAATTGTATGCGTCAAAATTATGATAAGCATGCATGGTGTTACCGGAAATTAAGTGAGATATATAACTATCATTTGATCATACACTCATGAATTTGGTGTTTGCAATACTTCATTTTGAAAAACTTATATATTTATACAAATTCATTATTTTAGTATGTGGTATACTCCTATTAATTAAAATGATTAAAAGCTAAGCAGGTAGATTATTTCTCGTGTAAAAAATATAGGGAGGCCAATGAACAAGATAGTTGCTTGCGTTTTTTATTTTGAGATGGGAGTGTCTACACATACGTAGTTCTTTTTTTCTTTTCTTTTTATAAAATTGATAACATAAGCCTAACGCCTCATATTACAAGTAGAGCTAGGAACCTCCATAGTCCATAGTCATAATCTAGTAATATATCAATGCAATTTGTTATACATCAAAAATATATAACCCTCTATCTGTAATTAGCACGGTTATAGCAATAGCATTGACATATATATTTAAATCCGTACATGTATGAACGAAACACATATTTTAATTATGGCCTTATGGATGTAGAAGATTTCAATTTGATTCTTTATGTTTTGGGATCAAATAGATCGCCAAACTCTCATATTAATTTATTAAATCCTAATTTCTTGGCTATTCCATGGCTAAGAGAATCCCTCTCTATACACATAACTTTTTGTTATACCTAACCTAAATTATGATCATTCTCTATCCTTGCATTTTTTTTTAAACAAGTAAAAGTTTGAACTTCTGCACATTTGATTTTCCCCCCGTTTCCTTGTCTACTCCTTTCCGTCTTTTAGCTTGGATGAATAGTGGGTTTGAAGATTGTAGTGTACTCATACCTTAACTTCGATCACTGCGTTCCTTAAAATGATTCTTTAAAATTTAAAATTAAGAATCTACTAGTTTATTTTGTTCAGTTTACGTTATATAAAAACTTTAAAAAGAATTTGTATAAGTTATTTGTATAATGAGACATTAATAATGCAGTTTATTTGTATCTTTACACTTTCAAACCAAGTTTTACGTAAAATAATGTTTCATGTTCGTTGTGTTAAATTATCATATATATTCTCTCAATCCTAGGTAAGTACGTAGTAGTATCATTAAAACAAGTTTATAAAATTAAAGAAATACGTAAAAGATGATGTGAAAGTAACTAAGTTATTATCAAACCCTATCTTATATTAAAATAAATAATTGTCGATAATAATGCATTTTCTTACGGTAATTAGAAAAATGCAGGCAAAAAAGTTCTATGGAAATAGATTAAGAAGTATACTCATTTCGGCATTCACTTCTTTAAAATGACTCTTATTTTAAATAGACGAAATGTTATGAATAAAGCAATTATCCTTGGACACAACTATCAACATATCTACAAAATATTAACCCCTTTCACATTTGTAAATAAGATGAATTTGTAATTAATCCTATTATATTTTTAGCCTACAAGTTTCCAGATTATAACTTTTTATAACCTCTATGTCTCGTTATTCGTTAATTTCCATTTTTTTTATATAAACCCTAACCAGATCCCAGAAAAGGTAATGCTTTAGTTTAATTTTTTTTTCCAAAAATAATTAATTGATAGTAGTAAAATTGAAGGCAAACCAAATACCTTGGTGATCGAACTTAATTTGAGTTTCCAATGTAAGCTAGCTAAGCTTGCATTTTGTCCATCTCGAACTTTGTTTATTTAATCCTAGAGAATGACAACAACACACACAGCTATGCATGAATTATGGCACAATGAATACTAATATCAATGGTTGATCGTAATAAGAAACATTATATGATCAGCCATAAAATAAGAAAAATTATAAAGACGGTGTAATCATTCAAATAAATTACCGACTGACATATGCAAAATGTAAATAACAAATTTCATTTATATATATGGGTGGTATATCTATCGTCATTGCAATTTCATTATTTTTTTTGGGGCATACATTTTTTAAACGTTGAGCTACATAACTAAAGGAAAATGATATATATAGTGAATAAAAATAGTGACAATAGTGACTGATGTGAATTAATCATGGTCCATAATTTTTTGTTATTTTCTCGTTGAAATTATATTTTTTTCGAAAATTATATTTTTATCTTTAATTAATAACCAAACATGTTTGGTATATTTATTTTTTCATTTATCATTATCCAAATTCACTATAATTGTTCACTATTTGTATTATTGCTCGACTAAAATATAACAGCCTTTATCATCACTCCTATAATTATTGGATAGTGCGCTTAACAATATGGTCAAATCATATCGTGGTAGATTGATAATAAGTACGGGTTTCCAGCTAGTAAAGTTGGGATTGCAAGCTTGGGATGAGTGTGTAGAAATCATATTTATTTGAGAGCTCACATGTAACCATCAGAATAATGGTCCTTTTGCCTGGGCATATTTGGTACGTATGTATGTTTTTGGATGATAATTAAGAATCATTCACAGACTAATAACAAACATATTGTGTTTGAAGATTTTGGTGGGCATTAACGCCTAGTTTGCCATAGATATATTCATGTGTACCTTCAAACATGACAAAAGTATATCACCATGCATGACCGATTTAGAAGGCCCATGAGAATAAATTGTTCGAAAAATTGTTCATTTATAATTGTGATAGTTGATTGACGAAAGTAAATCAATTTAATCTATCTATCTATATACTATACTAAGGCAAAAATCAGAGAGAGAAAACTAAAGGCATGGAGCACATGCCACATAGGATTTAATCCTATGTGCCATTTTCTTAATTTCTTAGACTTAAAAATGCACAAAACAAAATAATAAAACAAAAAAAAACTAAAATAATTTTTAAAAAAATAATAATAAAAACCGAACCTTTATTTTTATGAACCAAATCCTAACACAGAGATTGATTGGAGAGAGTACCAAATCGTAATAAATTTTAGAGAGATTTGCATAAACCTTGTCACCAGTGAATTTAAAATATCATTTAGAAAAAACAAATTCCTGTAAACTCAGAGGTAATCATGTTTAAAACTAAAATCATTACATATTTTATAAAAATACAAAATTTATATAAAAATGTCTAAATGTGTATGCATTTCCCGTCCATCGGACGGGTCTAACACTAGTAGGTTATAATAACAAATGAAAAGGAGTTGATATACAAGTTATAAACGATTTCTCATGGTTTCCCTCCATAAAATTTTTATTCTTCTCTGAAAAGAACCGTTATTAATTTTTTTGAGAAAAATGCATAATGCCCCCTTCATAATTGGAGCGACGAGAGAAAGGTAACTAGAAGCAAATCCATATACCAGAATTTATTTTATCGTTTTTGTATCTTGTACCAAAATTTAACCCGTAAATTATGTATTTATTATTACTTTCTTCACCAATATCTTTATTTTTTTTCCATCGTAAACTCTAATTAGGCACATTAATAATAAGTAAAAACATACTAATATTTTTTAATGAAAAAACTTAAGAAAAACTTCATCAATGTGGACGTATATATTGAGTGTATAATTTATTTCCCTTTTTTTTTTAATAGTGTATCATATCTCGTAACCCTAACACAATGCAAAAAAGTAGTAGATTTAGTGGAGATTTCTAAGAAACAAAATTATATTAGAACCATTTATTTTTTGGTACAATATTAAAATGCCATGCATACGTGTTTCATTACTTGGTCAACTGAGCTCCCCCAAAAAAAAAAAAAAAGAAAAATGACCTTATATAATTACATTTTGATATTTGCTAATACCACATGAGGACATAAGAATGTAGGGGAGTATGTCTGTGAAGTTGATGACACTTTCCTTGAAGCCAAATAACTGCCCACATGTTTTCTCCTTCGTTGCAGTATTAAACAACTTCTATTAATTAATTCTAAGCTTTTTAGAGGATATTTAGCCAAATATAATGCATAAAACATGTTTCTCAAAAGCTGGAAAGTTTGGTTGCTAATTAAATCCTATATATTAAAACAACTCACTTTTCGGACAATTGGCATGAAATGGCTGGGTCAATCAAAAAAAAAAAATCAGAAAAGTAAAAATCAATTAGATGTAATAAATGCTTGAACGACGTAAATTTTCCATTTCACTAATTACCAAATTATAAGTTAACAACCATTAGTAAATGTGGAAATCCCCTAATCAGCTAGATGCTGCAAGTAATTCCAACAATCTGAATTTTTATCTAAAAAGATTTTTGTTATGGACATGAAATGATTTTTTTTTCCCTAAAAATGCGTCCCCTAATTCTTAGATTAATGATAAAATTTCTTATTTTGTAAGGATTCAGTCTTATTTTTTCAGAGGTGTGGTGGAAAAATTAATGTTGTGAGATATTATAATATGGGGGATATATTTTTCTTTTAACTATTATGAATGAACCAGACATGTTTGTTTATTTATTTTTTTCATCTTTATGAATCGAATGGGATAATATCTTGATTTAAAAAATTTTACACACAAATAAATTTATACTACATTTTCATGATT